ATTAGTAAAGTTCCGAAAAAGCTACTCAGCACTATCGCGCTAGATAATTGCAAGCTAAAACAGAACTTAATTTTATGAACAGATAAATATAACGAGTTCCATATTCGGAGCTGCGTTAACAAATCATCTATACAGTTAGAGAAAAGCATGTGAAACGGACTGCAAGACTAAAATATAGGCAATATATACAACCTTTTTGAATTCTGGTCAGTAACAGCCATGAGTGACTATTTCGTTAACGACATCAGCTGTTTTCAGTCATCCCATATTAGCCTTCTATAAAAAAAAATTACAGTTATATATCAATTAAACTACATAAGTTAGCTTTGTGTAAAATGTGTCCTTGAATCAAAGTAAAAACCTGTGCAACAGAGACCTTTCTAATGAACGGCTAGTGTCATGAAATTGTTGAAGTCAGATTTCCTCCTCATGTATAAAAGGGCAAAACGCGCCAAAAATGACGAAGAAACCTGGGGCTACCCTATGGATGCAGCATCAAATGGTTCAGAAGATATGAACTAGAATAAGAAAAAGTATCCTTGCAGCCAGAGAAAGACGTTGCAAAAAGCCGCAAACCTATTGATATGCAACGAAAATGATTAGAGAGGAACACAGATATATAACTGAACCTAGATAGCAGGTGGGAAAACACATCCAACAACATTGGAGAAACGCATGTAGAGGCTGTGTGCGATGGAAGCTCAATGAGGCTCGTCGAAATACGAGTGGTACCCTCAAATAGTACGGTCATTGACGCTTTTGACGCTGAACCTAGAAACAGGTCAAGCCTCGAATAGGTACGTTTGTTTCATGCTACTTGTCAAGGTCAATGTCGGTACGGTTGCAGACACGACGTTCGGAAAATGTATATATTTAGACTCGCGGTCAACCCCCAAGCGAGCGTGGCCACATAACTATTGAAGAGGCTTCACCGGAATATCGCAGTATCCATAGCCAAGAACCGTTTGCAAAGATCTGGTATGATAGAGCATCTGCAAAGACATCACAGCTGTGCTCCCCTGAAAGTTATTGAGAATATATAGAATAGCCTTCCAGAAAATCAATAAGTTTGCTCTGTCCAAGAGAGACAAGTTCTTAAAGAGGCGCCATTTTAACATATGAAAAATCGTAACTTATGTTGTGTCCCTCGAAAGGTAACATAGTAAACCCAAGTGTGTCTAGCAAGCCTCGTGAACCGCAGCAGTCATACTTATTCAGTAACCAAGCAGACGCTCATGTTTCGATTATAATGACTACTTGAGAGACAATCGAACAAAATCATATAATATGTTTGGGTGGCCAAAATAGATTAAGGCATTTTTCTCAAAACTATGCAGAGACACAGTATGCTGTTCGTAATGCTGATATGGTCTAGCAGCTGCTTCTTTTGTGTTGTCACTCAGTGAAGAAAGCTGTCCTTTGAAATTTACTAGAAATTCAAGTGCTAATAATAATAATGGTAATTATTAAATTCTGAATGAAGAGAGATACAAATCTTCCAAGAGAAAGTTACTTGCTACTTGCTAGGCTATCAAATGGCAGTTACAAGATGGATATTGAAGAATATGACTTGTGCACTAATGAAACGATCGGATGCTTGTGACCCCCCTGGACACGCCATTCATCAATGTTTATTAGAAAGTATACTTTGTTACGCTCTACAGTAGCAAAATGGCAGGACAATGTTGTTTACAAGGCATATCTGGGTTGGGTGAAAGCTTTTGCCCACGGCTACAGAAACACTTCTGATGAATGTACTTATTTAGTCTAATTTCAATAGATTCGATCGCGGTTTTAGTTAGCGGGATCTGAATCGCGACACGTTCCTATCTGTTTTTTGAGCGTCTTTTTAACGGTGATAGCGAGTAGGTCGAGGCTGTTGAACAGATATTTCTTCAATTGCTTTCCACACGCAATAACGGATTCAAAATCGACAGGACAGGTGCTATTTACGGACTCGCTATTGTTTTTAAAATATCTAAATAACCTTCGAACGAGGTACGGCTCTATTATGCCTTCTTAGCTAGGCACAACCACTCAAAACGAGGGCGCTGCTTGAAAATGTGCTTTTATTCGCAATGGAGGCGTCTTTTTGCCTCATGGCAAACCAGTGCTCTTTGCTACGACTCTTTTTATATATATATATATATATATATATATATATATATGGTGAATATTTTGTCATTGTTGGGAAATCCAGGACGGTTCTTGAGAAAACTCAGGAACAGAGGAGACAAATTGGTTCCCTCTGGGGTTTTGCTATTTACAAAGAGTTTTTGCTTCACCACGATGGCCTAAGACCCATAGTTTACATGAAGGTTACACAGCAGGCAGTTACATAGGTCCTCTTACAAGCCCGTATATTTAGTTATGGTTACGGATGCCGGTCAAGTAAGGAATCTGTTCTTCCTTCATCGTACCTTCATATGCTAAAAAGTACATCCGTATTCAGTGTTCGTAACGTTTTACTTCTAAAGATAATATTCGAAAGGTGGATAGCTTAGGAATTCACGCTTTAAAGCTAGACGCTAACTAACAGTCATTCCCTGACGCAACTGAAACAATGAGCTTGGCTATCATAGACAATACTAATAATAGAAAAACGAATTATATCAAAATAAGCCACTTATTTAAGGTTACAATTAATGAAGAACATGTGACGCACTTCAAATGGTGATGTTAAGTATGGTCACGCCTGCGTTAACTTCAGCCGAAAGTCTATAAGGGATCATTAAGGAAAATGCCGTGGCAGTAATCGGTTCGCATGTAAATCTGCGCCTTCGTAACGAGGGCGGCAATCGTGTAGATGACCGTGAAGGCGCAACTACTAACTGCTGGTTTGGGAGAATGCGTAAGTTTTGATGGAACCACAGCGCACTCGGCCTGGAACGTGTCTTGGGGTCTCTAAAATTATCATTATCTACCGATATAGTAAGCACTATGTAGTACCACTCCTGGAGTATCGAAACTAAAAGACTGCCAAATATGGTTGTCGAGAATGAAAAAAAATGCTAAGCAAGTATAAGATAAAAATGATAGGTGAGATAATGTGTTTTACGGTATCGAAAGGACAAATGGCCACTACGCTCTATATGAAAACAAGTTGTGGAATAAGGTGCCTGACATCTCATAGATTGCAATTGGATTATGCAAACCTCCTGCGTTATTAGATTCGATATTCCGTCGTATGGCGCGTGCAACGCCGCTGGTGAAATTGACGGGATAAAAACGCTTCCGTTGCCGTTTTTAGAGCAGACGAATCGTCGTCGATCGCTCGAGACATGTACATCCGAGGCAGCAGCAGCCGCTAGCGATCTAATGTACATTCGATATATGGCGGCAATTTTAAATTTAACTCTCACGAAGTCCTGCTACAAATTGTATTACGTATATTACAATTTAGAATGCTCGCAGTAGTTGTTGCTTCTCTTAGAGAACGAAATCAGATAGACCTACTGAACTTGATAGCGTAATGCTGATTAACTCTTTGAATACTATGTACTTAAATTTACGTTGGGCCGATAATCAATCGCAAGCCTATTGTGCAACGGCATCAAACGCCACCAAGGATATACAGTGTCGCGTTATCTGGAGCTTGTCTGCGTCAGTAGCTTGACATTTCGTCGGATTCCAAGGTACTGATCAGACCACAAAACCGATCAGACGACTAGATGCGCTTTTAAAAGGCGCATATGGTACATAAATCCGCTCTTGGCTAACACGAACAGCTGGCAAAAGAATCGCGCGAACGGACGAAGCTCGTTCGCCGCCAAATTCGCCCTTTGCTTATGGCAGATCTGCTAGCTGCCGTTTACGTCGATCGTCAAAACCTTCATTTAGAGCGTATCAGAAGCGGTTTGCAAGAGAGCTTGATTCGCTGATTATAGATGACACTTTCGACCGTGATTTGTTTGCTTCTACTATACTAAAACATTGTAGACGCTATTTTGGAGGGAGAAGTGTCCGGGTTGCTGTATGAATGAAAACTTAGAGCTTTAATTCATGCAAAGCTTTTGCTGATGACTTCGCCTATTTTCTACCTTGATGCATTAAGAAATATGGACATTTTAAGTTCGTTTCGAAACTTTTGGTAATCGCAGCTTGTTTTTTATGGGCAAATACTGAAGCCCATTAGAGATTGAATCATTAGGTTGGAAACTAAGGATCCTTCCTGCGTTCACCAAAAGATGCTCCGTATCCGCGCAACGAGTCCAGTTAAAGAAAGCAACAATAATAAAGGTCAAACGGTATAGCGACTTTATTATATCGTCGTACCACAAGAAACAAGCGTTTGCCACTTTGTTGCCATATTTCGGGACGAAATAATGTTTAGTTAATGGGCACCAATAAGGCGAAGAAGCAATTATTTGCAATGCTAGGACATAAACAAACAACCAAAACATAAGAGTGCATGCATAATAAATTGACGTCCGACAGGGCTATAAACCCTTCATATCTGACAGTTATATTATTGCACGCTTGACACGCTGCTAAATGGCTACCCGTGCATCTCGAATATTTTTATTATCGAATAATCTCTAGGATTTACGATAGATGGCCTCTCTTGACATCGTTCACGTTTGGCTGGTAAAGATCTGTGCTACGTAATTGCGAAGTGCTTTAGAAGGTACTAACTTTAGCACTAGATACACAGGAAAAATCTAGGGGTATTCACCGTTGTGATGCGTTTCTAATGAGTTCTGCAAAGGCCTACAGAATACAACGATCTGTTACAGGGTTTTGGCAAGGATCATGCACTCTTGACTAGTCTAGCTATCCAGTTCAGGCGTCGTCTATATGGTCTGCTGTGCTCCTGTTAAATCCTCTTTTTCATGGCCCCAAATTTTCCTAAAGCAGATCTAGGTGGTCTGCGGGCCCAACAGCAAGTCGGGAGAATCGTGACGTCACGGGGCTGTACGCGCATGAGTGCCATTGTGGCAAGGGTACGAAAGCGGGGTCGGGAAGTGGGCTACAACTGGCGGCCAGAAAGGGTCTGAAAAGAGCGAGTTCTGTGAGAGAAAGTAAGCCAGTACGCGCTGCCTTCCCTCCTTGTGTATTTCTCTTCCAGTCCCGTGTGCTGCGCTCCGGCGCGCGATACTTCACCAGGTTAAGAGCTGAATAAATCGACAACTTGTGACTCGTTGGAGATTTCAACAACATTAAGTTTATTCAATTAAAAAGACGTGCTCACAACATGAAGAACAGTGCTATCGGAATTAGTTGCTGTTATAGTGCTTCATACAACAACAACAATAATAATAATTAGAAAAGTTTTACGTCAGGTGCTAAAGTAAATTCAGTTCAACGCTCCTCTTGACCGTTGGGTCGACTGTGGATACATGAGTAGAAACCGCCATAGCAGAAGTTATAGTGCTTGCGTGTTGTTTTCGTGAATTAAAATGTGCTCACCTTGAGAAGACGTTGACGCAGGCGAACAGTCACAGATGCTTCGATTACGTAAAAGTCAATATCGTCTTACCGTTGATTTCAATCTCTACCACCTTTCTTACCATGCACCCAAATCCCGTAAGGACCACAAGGCATCTATTGTTCTTTGCTATTGCGCTTTTTTCGCTAGTAGAGAAAAATAGTGCCGGCTCGTAGTAAAATGTAATGTTCGCTCGGTTGGAGTAACTCTAGTTGCCTTTTTCCCAAGAAGGGAAAGAGGAGAGGTTTCACTTTATCATCTCTTTTAAATTAGAAGGTCTAAAAGCGAGTCCGAGTTCCACTACTATAAAATTGGGTCTGCTAACTTAACCAACTCGTCACTCTCGTACCGCGGTAGCGCTGAACTGCTTTTATTGCCATTTATTGAAGATGAAGCTCTAGCCGAAAACAATAATAACCTCAACGCTGATCCGAATAATTCCAACGGGCAAATGGCAGCGTCGATCAATTTTAGCAGTACATCGCAGGTACAGCTGAGCGGGCTCGACAATAGCGTTCCAGTTAGTGGAGATCATCAACCACAACAAAAAGGGGGAGAAGCGATGTACGTCCATCAGCCGTCGCTAATGAATATGTCATCGATTTACCCACTTGAGTACGCTGTGCCAATTTACGGCTACGCGATGCCACCACTGATGATAGTGACGATCGTGGCGAACACATTTGTCGCCGTGGTACTCTCACAACGGCATATGGTCACGCCAACAAACATTGTCCTTCTAGCGATGGCTGTATGCGATATGTTGACGCTGACGTTTCCTGCTCCTTGGTTTTTCTATTTGTACACGATGGGCAATCATAACCTGCTCCTGGGTCCGGCCCCGCTGTGCTTTGCGTTTGTTTCTATGACCGAAGTGATCCCGAACGCGTTTCATACGACGTCGATTTGGCTGACCGTCTTCTTGGCCTCACAGCGATATATCTACATATGTCATCCGCAAGCGGCGCGCAAGTGGTGCACATTGCCTCGCGTGTGTAGAACTATAGGCGCTATCGCGTTGGCCGCGTTCGGACATCAGATGCTTCGCTTGTTCGACTGCGAGTTCCATGATATCTCTGTCGAACTTGACGACGGCCGCCAGGTAAGGAACGGTAAAAGGAAATCTCACTTGAATTGTACAAAGGAACATCATAGTCAGCTAAACTTTAGTCTTTCTTTAAAAGCACACAGTGCACACTTACTGCTGATTCAAACGCAGCGCCATCCATGTTGCTCGGCAAATATATAAAACTGCATTTCGGAATCAGGCTGTGTGAGTAGCTTATTTCAAATTCTGGCCGTCGTTAACATAAGTAGTTTCTTATAGAAGTACCGGGCTACAGGCTTCAATCGGCCTGAAAGTCTACCCATGAGTGATGTCGTGGGCTGTATTTAGTAGACGTCCTGACACTTGGTTGGTAAGCTTACGCTTTTCGATAAAGCACTTGATTGAATAATGATTAGGGAGCGACGAAAACGGACGATCCACCTACTACCCGTAAAATGTTGCCGTAAAATGTACGCATCGGTGCAATTTATATGGGACATATTGGACGGACTGAAAGAACAATTTAGTGAAATACATCGTATGAGTAGAATAGTGAGCTCTGCACTGCTTGCAACTCTCGTACAGATTAACGTTCCGCTACACTAAAACGTAGAGAGAAGTTTTAACCGTTGCCATAAGATTCCAAAGTTACGACTGATTTCAACTTCTTATTCATCCGTATGATAGGTCTCATTTACTGACTGGCTTGCAGTTTCCGAAAGTGACTAGATGCCGGCCAAATTTTCGCTTTAGATCAAAGCCTACAAAAGGTGTTAACCGATAAAAGAAGTTGACGATTGACTCGATCCCAAATGTGCTTTAGCCCAAGTTACTCTTCCTCAATTTTTGAGTCGCTCAGACTACCACGTGAGCTCTGGACTACTTCTCTACCGCACCGGTTCAGCAAGATTAAGTTAAAAACTGACAGAAAAAAGTTACATGAATCATACCTCTGCGCCCTTATATACAATTCCCTCTGGAATTGTTAATTACTAAAAGTATAACCTTATTCTACATGCCTTGAGTAGCAATCTGAATTGTTTGAATAATTTGGATACCCCTAATAACCTCTGAAAAAGAATTGAGGACACAATACGAAAAAAAATGAACGAACGGTAAAAGAAGCATCGATCCAAGCTGAAATTCTGCACAACTCAGTCTCAAGCAATGCAGCTATTTATTTCTTATACACCGGTTCCATTAACTGTTGTACAGAGATGCGTGCGCTCGGCGGTAGCCGATAAAGGTTCTTTGTTCGAGAAAGGCTTTCGTTTCGGCGTAGCGGGCCAGGGCCAGGGTTGGGAGAGGAAGTATGTGACAGGGGAACATGATAAAAGAGCGTGACTCCTTTTTACTCCTATCCAATGTCTCTTTCATTCGTCCCTTGAGCCTCCGATCTCGCTTCTTCATCGAGTTTAAAAGAGACCGATTAAAGCTACGCGTTTCACTTGCAACGCACCCTGTTCGCGCGCACGTTTTCAAAATCACAATGACCGCCAACCAATCTCAATAGCATAAAATTAAATTAGGATCCTTTTTTCTCAACCGAGCGTCGTCTGCAAAGCTTAATAATTTGCATTTATTTACGCTTAACTACCTGTCTTTGCTTAGAGTCATTCGAAATAGTCGGAGACATCTTGTTAGGAGTAAGCCACCGTTGCTATGGTAACGTAAAGCAAAAATTCATCTACGATGTAGAAAAGAATGGAATAATATAATCTGTACAGCATTCAAAAAGTCAATAAATGGATAACCAAGTATCGAATAATAACGAACTTGCAGGGCATTAGCTAACGGTAAGCCGGACGTGTGTTTTAAATACAACTTTCAAGAGTATGGGGCTGCTATTTTGCCACTATTGCTGGTCCACACAGTGGACCAGCAATAGTAACAAAAAAAAAAAAGGAGACGCACCTGTGTGATAAATGTCTGAAGTCGTTATCATTGGAGAATCTAAACAATGTTATCGTTCGACATATTATACCTCGAATTATTCACTGCTAGCAAATATATGCCTAGATTGTGCCGTCCACTTAGATCGTGGCCAAGCACACTTGCCAAGCTTATGTAATAATAGTTTATCTAATGTTTATAGCAACGAACCTCATCAAATTTTCGGATAAATTTTCTCAACACTTTTAGTAGCCTTTTTCGGTAATTGGTTAGGGCTGGCGAAAACCTCTTTCCAATGATCCCGCCTAGCCATATATGCCCGTCTTTCGTGGTCCAGGAAAGGATTTGGAACACTTTAGTGGAAATATGTTTTTTAAATTAGTTAGAATACGTGGGTTAGGCTGCTGTGGTTGGTAGGTCTAGGTCTCTATATGTAATTTCTCGATTTCACACGGCTATCAAAAAGCGGCGTAGATAATATTTTAAAACATTATACGCTGGCCATTTTCGGATAATTATTTTTATGGGTAAGTTTGTAGTTGAGTAGGTCTTTCCCCTTTTTGTTAATTATTTTCTATTAACTTCTAATTTTTTATTCACAAATTTTGCAGCTACATATACATGTTACTTAAGTTTAAGAATTAACCGTCGTCCATCGTACACATAGACTCACCCCAGGGCGACGTAGCTAATATATATATATATATATTCGATAAATACTGGTAAACTATAATTTATCATTCTGTGTACATAAGTCAAAAGTTGAAGTAACGTGACAGTTGTTTGTAAATAAAGCTCTATTTTTTTCTATAACGTGGCTGTGTTCTTTTTTAAGCAATATTACAAGTGGCTTGATCTGTAGAAGTATTCAAACACTCACCAAATAGTTTTTGGATCCGCTAATTTTTTCGACGGGTATAATAAAAATGATATCAAAGTCCTTGTCGAAGCATAGCGTCAAAGGTACTTTCGAACGTGTATCATTTTGAGAAAATTACAACAATCGGTCTAAGGATTAGCAGGCATGAGTGTAAAATCTAGATAAGGCTACGACTCATTCTTTCTACTCATTTAGTTAAACATTGCTTTTACAAACTTTGAAGCGAAATCACATAGCGGAGCTGCGAAAACTCTAACGGGAAAAAGTAATCTCTGGCGCGGTTGGACGATGGCGGCTGATTTTCTAAGAGTAATAAAAGTATGATCAAGTTAGCATCTGTTTATTTTTTGAGATTTACAAGTGGGCTAACCAACACGAAAGTAAAAACAATAATTAATGAGAAAAAAGATGCGCGTGCCTTCTTTTATACCGTCTTCAATAAAATAATTATTAAAATAAATTTACAAAAAATAGTGTCGCTTTTTTATCTGGCTACTGCAGAAGCAACTTTGTCACTATCTCGCCAAGTTCTTAGAACTGCCCTAAAGACAATTGCAAAAGGGACAGCCAAGATATTATTTATAGATCGAATCAGAATAGACAAGACTTGATCAGTAAGGGAAACTCGTACGGTACTGCCTGCAAGCGTGATTTCAACTCGAGTCTGGGAGATGCGTCAGAAGTTGCCAGCAGATTTCAACAACATGGTGAAAAGAAGACAGCATCCCGGATGCATCATTAACAAAGCATATGCTTTATTCCATAGCAGATTGACCGTTTTAGGCTGGTTACTGCTGAAAGAAAGAATATCCACCTAGTTTGGGTCTATCGGCTTTTTATATTTTTCGTAAGAAGCGATATTAGTGTGTATCATTGGCGGACCCGGCTTTCTCTTGGCTATTTGCAGACGTCGAACGCGTGGTTGAATATTACGTAATCCTGAGTTCTTAATTATGGTTCGAGTTGGATTCACGTCTCAACGGTACGCAGGATATCTCCAAACACTTCACTCATTGACTTCCGCTGGCCTCAATCAGTGCCCGTTAGGAAGGAACAGGTTTCTGGCAATGTCCGATATCGTTTAGGGTAAAAACTATTGAATTCTGATTTGAACATTGTCTAAATGCCAGGTCCCAATGCTACTCGTAGCCTACGTCAAAATTAATAGTTTAATAAGAAAATAGTTCGTACGAACAGCAAAATAGAGAAACTTTTTTTGTATTCTCGTTCCCACAGAACGTATGCTCGATTTGGAGAATCAGAATTCATTCCTTATAAGTAAAAACGTTCAAGTGGACACGGGTATTACCATTTGACAAAACGAAAAATTACCTTTTTTTTAAAACGTAGAAAACTCCAAGACCAATTTAACCGACCCATAAATCGCTTAGATATGTATAGTAGAATAGAGCCACAAATTTTATTGAACTGTATTATTCCCAACTTAAATTCGGTGCATTTTTTCTATATTCTAATAAGGTAATAAATGTTGTTGTGTCGCTGATTGATGTTAGAACAGCGTGTGTATACGTGCTTGCGTGGCCGAACTGGAAACAAAATACGTACAGAAAACGTGCACTTGCGTAACATGCTTCAGCCGTCAGGTTGCCGTTTCAAAGATCCGGTAAATTTCGTCGTGTTCTCTTGGTGGGGGGCCATTTGCCCTAACGAGAGCTTGCTAAAGTTATATTTATTGGCTAGTGGCACTCAACACACATGTAAGTAATTAACCGTTTTGGCTTCTGTTCAACAAGCCCAGAAACGATTGCAATTCTGAGCTCTAACGTTTTACATACACGTTTTGATCGTCTGAGTTTTTTTTTCCTAGTGATGATGTAATAAATGAAACTTGTCTGTTGAAGTTATCGTCTGCCAGTTTCGTAGAATTTAGCCATGTCAGAAACGGTTCCTTTCGTACATGTAGACTATTTCGACAGATAAACATTTATTTCAACAACTAGAGCAAAACCCGTCAATGTGATTGATTATTTTCAATTGAAAAGCCAGGTGGAACAATTTGCAGATTAATAACATGGAAACATATGGGGACCAGTTTTCCTCTAAAGAGGCTCATTTACGCGGCGCGAAGAATCGTTTACGGTATAGTTTAAGGCGTTAGCTATGATCGTCTTCTAAATCTGCCCACACAAAATTGTACATAGTTCAGAGTTTGTCCAAAATTGAATACAAATTCAAAGGTAATTAGAGAAGCGTCCTGCTAAGAGCAGGTAAGAAATATTCATACCTGTGCAATGCTAACGAGCTAACCTCTCAATAGCTTTGCATAATCTTTGACCGTACCCGCTTCTTCGAACTAACCCCTTTTGTACTGATTAAATCTCCGGTACGTTACCGGCAGAGGGGAGCATGAAACAACCGACAAAATGGCGTGAGAGTGCCTACTGGATATAGCGGTGCTGTGTATCACGATATTAGTACTTTGATAGCTCGCATGTTACCTCACTCGCGAGAGGTTGACGCGCGCCACCGATGTGGCATTTATTTCGTACAGGCATTTTATGTTTTGTGTCTACCGAGACGAACTTCTGCAACAACTTTCTGTTAGATAATACTGAATCCTGACGGCATATTATCTTATTATGGATCTCAGCTAAATAATCAGCCAATAAATTTTTAGACGTTCAAGCGAAATAGATTGAAAGGCGGTTAAAACTACGTGGGCGCACGTTCTCCGCAGTCTTACATTACTTGCCCCTTATATATAAGTAAAATGGTAGGACAATTACGGAATCTGAATTGCTATAATGTTCATTTTCGTACGAATTTACGCAAACGTTTCATTACTAGCCTCTATTTCAGCTAGATTGCTCAAAGACAAACGCCATTAGTGCTAGCATTAATTTTATTTAATATTTTGACATAGCTAGTCAAAAACATTAACTTAACAGCCCCAACTTTTCGAATTTAGTAATAGATCACAGCGGGCTTACGTGCAGCATTTGCATTGCAAAACTCCCGTTATGCAGACACAACCTGCCTTTTTAGTGAAGTCGTACCATAACGTAGAAACAGTCACCATGGATGAACCATTAAATTACATTATCTCAGCACTCTATCTAGGGGCAATGTAGGTTACTGGAGAGGTGCAACTTATATTAGTTCGCTGTTATATATATTCTCCTATATTAGTTCCCTATAAAAATTTCTATACAAAAGCTCTCTGTTAAAACTGAACAGCTATTTATTGCTACTTTAGCAATAGATTAGGCCAACAGTATACAGTAAAGGCCGGTCCTAATGTAAACACTACAATTTATAATCTCTTTCTGGCTGACTCCAGTCATCACAAACGCACATATCTCAACACGTAGCTCCTTCCCTTCGTATATTATTTACCGTTCTTGTTTATTTACAGGTGGTTGTATGTGATAAACGTAATGCACCATGGGTAGTGCATTTCTTCACGACGCACATCTACTACAACGCGTACTTTACATTTAAGGCACTTTTCGTTAACCTCGTTCCGTGCGCAATGCTGGTTCTTCTCAATATTCTGCTATTCCGCGCCCTCAAACAGGCCCAACTGAAGAAGCGCAAGCTCCTTAAGGATGACACTAGTCATCCTATGGGCTTGCTCAGTCAGTTAACGCTCCAAATGTCGAACAGCACTCGAATCGGCAGTGCGAAGATGGGAGTTCAACTTTTACGGACTCTTAATTGCAGCGAAAGCAGGAGCAAAAATCCAAAGAAGAAACTTTGCCGAAAGGACGATTCTTCCTTGACGACGGGCTTCGTCAGCATGCACTCGATGGGCAGTTCGTCGAACGCTATCGTTAATAGTGAAGGCAGTAGGAATCCCCGGAATGACTCACATACTGGTATTACGCTTATGTTAATTGTCGTTGTGACGGTTTTCCTCGCCACCGAAATACCGAACACGACCGCCGTTATTCTGCACGTTCTCAATAACAATTGTCACTTGCGGATTTCCTACGATGCGCTCAACGCTCTCATGGTTGTCGTAAATTTCTTTTTTATGGTTAGTTACCCTTTTAATTTTGCCATATATTGTGGTATGAGCAAGCAGTTTCGTAGCACGTTTCGGGAACTGTTTGGTACAGGATGGCTACGATCGCCCGGCGAAGACGTGTGTCGAAACGCTCGAACGGCTAGCTCAATGGTCGCCATGAACGGAGGAAGTCTAACGGCTATCATAAACACACAACGTACACTAGAAACCGTCTTGTAGGAAGCGAAAGATACAATAACGGAAGATTAAAACGTCATACAATACCTATACAACCTGTCAAGTCGGCGTAGCATAGATTCAATTTGAACTCGACCACGTCGCGAAAGGGATCAACAAATTGAGTTACGACGCTCGAAAGGAGCGGGATGATGCTGAAGCTCGTAATAAAACAGAGGAAAATTAATCAGGCCTTTTCTTATTTGTAAACACTGATTAATATTTTGTGCAGCTCTATGTATATATATATATATATATATATATATATATATATATATATATATATTGCTCGATTTCTTTGAAAACGAGTACTAGATAACATATTTAATCGTAGAAACAGAAGCTCACGATATACGTGTAGACAATCGTAGTCGATAGATTAGCAGTTCAGCACTCACCGTTTTATATATAGGAGTAAAAAATAATACCTAGCAGCGATTTTCGTCACAGCCTCGTTCCACATTTTTCAGACATATTTAATATTTTGTAAGATAAATCGTATATCTATGTTGAGCTGGTGGAAAGACTTGATCAGTCGTGTTAGTTGTCGTACAAGCGCATCGAAGCTCACCAAATTGGAACTATCTGCACAGATACACAATCCAGAAAACTTTTTCCCAAAACAGCTTTTGCCAGGTAAGCTTTGCGCTGGGTACCAGCCAGCTAGAGCGATCCTTAACAGCATCATCAGACATAAACCCTGAAATAGGTGCTTCGTAGATATATGTGCATTAGAAGGGTAAGAATGTAGGACAACAAGATTTCTGCTACTAAAAGCTGAACAATTGTAAGACACGAATGGTACACCATAAAACAACTCTCTCGTTACTAATTGCAGCACGTTATAATGAGCAGTCTTATTAACGAAACCAAGTTAAGCAAAATGGTCCTGGCTGAAATTTAGCCATTCGTGTTAGCCGTTGCACTATGTCAAATGTTTCTACTTTTATGTGCGGATCGTTGCATGGCCCTTCGTTCTACCACTTATTTAAATTAAGCTTCAATATTTTCCATGAATTGATCCGGAGCACAATGGCATAATGATTGTACCAACGCTTTGTCACGAATCAGCTATCTACAGATTAGCAATATGTAGTAGGAAAAGGAAATTAAGAGAAATACACTTACGTGCTTATATTTTTATATGGCAAGGTAGAATCATATTAGCACTACTCCGGCCAGCTTAATGGTAAATTTTAGATTTCTTTTTTCCGATCTAACAATCAGGTATTAAAGAAGTAACGATGGTTTTTTTAGGTAGATGACCTTAAGGTCTCGTACCTTGTATAGTACGATACCTTGTGTAGTGTTGGTCGGCGTTGGTGTCATTTGAAAACCAAAATTCAACAGTAGAAGGAATGCGAGTAAAATTGTTGGATGCCTTTACTCAGACTTCAAATTAAATTTCGGTAGAAATTAATTACGAGAAAAACACAAATGCTACCTGGACCTATAAAAAAAATCTATGTTGTTTATGGTTGAGATGGATGATCGGAAAAATGGCCCAAATATTGTTCTGTCGCTTGCGTTCCGGAAACTTCGATGTCAATCAGCTACGAAAAAAAGTTTATGAAGTAACTACGAAAGTTAACCAAGACCGTAACATCACGTGAATAACCATGATATCACAAGTTAAAGATACTACACCTACCAATTATAAACCGCTTGAAGACAGCTGGCTTCAAGAAGGAACTTGAAGTTTGGACACTACACGAACTGATGTAAAAGAATTTACTGGATCATATTTTTATCTCGAGATATGACGAAATTGCACCATTTTCACAGCAATTGATCAGGCGTTATGAAAAGTGTATCACATACGACGGACGATACCCGAATGGAACATTTTAATGAGTCTACCGTTTACCTCGGATCTAGTGTCATCTGATCATCATCCGCTTCGGGCTCTGCATGGATCATTTAACGCTTTTCATTTAGCTTCAACCAGAGAGAGAGAGTTAGGGTTTTTCGCTCATTGATTACAACGACGACGGGATTACCACATCAACCCAGAGAAAAGGAAAAGTTCGTTGATTAAGGCAGAACACATTTAGTTTGCTAGTTGCTAATTGTTTTAAAACACAAAAAAAAATCATCGCGTTAATTTTAGCTCGAAGCTTATCAACACTTTGTTGATAAGCAACATGGAAATATGGGAGCAATTATACACGATTTTATTGCTAATTTGAAACAGTGTTATAGAAAACGTGGATCTTGTACTGGTGATACTATTAAAAAATAACCACCGAAGCATCTTAGCTTGGATTAGGAACACGCTTAGTTTAATACGACAGTTATAGAACAGATTTATCGCGTATAGCGCCTGGGTGTCATCAGTCGTTGATACCACAGTTGTGAGAAGATGATTATTATTGCTTTTCTACAACGAGGACAATGAAATATCGGCACCTAGCACCTCACGAACGGGCTTTTAGCCGACTGCACCAGTCCTTCCCAAAGACTACTCAATCATACGGTACGCTGAAGATCCACTTTGACCAAGGTCTGATTGAACATCAGCGTTTTTGCAATAGTGAGTTCTAACACTTGTTTGAATGTCGTAGCATCATTCGACACTACATACAGGCCACACATACGATAGGCGATGTACAGATATCTTGACGCCAAAAGAAGCTCGTAGGTCGACAAACCAACTGGGCTATGGGTTATGGGCAGATGCCCATAACCTTTGACCGCCGTTGGCTTCTGACCTGTAGCGAACGATCGTACGTAAACTGTCTTAAGTCGAAAAGCTTAAGTTCCATTATTGGTTACACCGTGAATTTGCCATATATTTGCCATATATATATAAATTGCCATATATAAAGTGTTTTTCGTGTGTATGATAGAAAATAACTTCAGTTGCGGAGACCGCTTGATCGAATATATCCAGTGGATAAGTAACTGTGTAACTGCTTGTTGTCGCATATGTGCAAAATCTGTCACCTAATTTTTTTTAGGCACCTAATTGGACCATCGACATCTAAGAAAGGCTGAATTTGGTATATTCGGTTGAATTTTGAAACGTTGCTACATTCTGATAGTAGCTTGATCCTATATAAGTGTTGTCTTCGCTCTGAATAAATCATTTACACTAATAAGTTCCGATTTATCCGCTACATTTTGACTTCTCGGCCAGCTATTTGTTAGCATAACTTGTCGAAACTTATTCTAAAAAATCAAAGTTGTCGGCCAATTTCGTTATTAGCATTCCCTCGACTGACTCGATGTTGGGGACTAGTATCTATTAACCAATTCGATCAATTGGACCAAAATTATCAGACCTGCAAAGTGCTTACCGCAACGCTGCTGAGCTGTAATCAGGGAATGGGTCCTTGAAGACCATGTAGTTTCTCTGGGAGAGCAGGAATGATATATCAATTCTGTTAAAAACAAACGCTTCCCACCAATCGCGCATGGGCCAAAACTGCAGAGTTATCATACGAAAGAAGCTGCTGTCGACACTTAAACTAGGTCTGTTTTTTGTTTTTAAATATTAGGCACACTGTGACAGTAGCTCGCATTGATTTTAAACAATGTCCGGGCCGAGATTTTTTTAATGGAATCACGTTAGAAAAAAAAAGGACAACTGAAACAAGTAACACATTGTTTTTGAATACTTCAGAGAGATAGATTTGAGATCTGAATGGAGCTAGGCTAGCGTCGGATAAAGCTTATGATTCGCGTTGAATTACAGATAAACATGCGTAAGAGTTACGATGTACACTTTACTAGCTTCCACCGTTTTTGCTGGTTCCAAGCTTAAAACGAGGTCGGAGAAGGTCATTTGTTACGTCTCGTCCAATAAAGTATACCATTCTACCTTGTCTCACTACCTTGTCTGAAATAAAATCATAGCACTGATGAAAGTATATATCGAAAGCTACGACCAAGCTTCTAGGTAAAGACTTACCAACTATTTTTGAATCTTGTACGTTATAATTTCATCTGAGAGTTGCTATTAAATCACCTAAACAATATAGTAACTAACGTATCTTACGCCATACCTTCTCCGGTATATATTTTCCTGATACATGAAGGTCTATCGACCTCTCTCCAAAGAGGAGAACCTTGCGTTGAATATAATATGGAATAATTCTGATGTACCTACAATCTGCTCAGTCGAAGAGACCCCGCTGGCAATATCATAACTGCAATAAGTACTAGATTTTTAAATGAATATTTTGTCATACGGAAGACTTACCGTTTCATCTTCTAGGCGACCGTTAAAAGCGTTGCATCGGAGATATGCGCTACAAACAAAGCCAAAATCTAAACGATCACTTCAAAACTATTTAGAGGTTAAAAAAATTGTAGATACCAACGATCAATAATTTTCGGGTAGAAGAGCACTGTAGTTACATTAAGCAAAAGATTTGGTCCTTAACACAAAACAACGTTTACTGAAACCCCGTTTCGACGTCTGCTTTCTATACCATTTGACTCTTAGACCCGGATACGGAAGTTGACTTTTGCGTGACGACCTGAATTAGACGAATACGGGTCAAATCGCTTAACAACAATTTAGAGGTGTCGTTTCAGCCAACCCCTTAAAGATATACCGTGCAATTTCGTCACTGGCAGCCTGGAGTTAATTCACTGCTTTTGAATTGGGCTGATAAGAACGTTTTAAACCGAAACAAAGCTGTAATTTCATTAGCACCTAAAGGCGTCGTGTTATTGCGGAAGGACAAGCTAACGGCGTATCGGACGGAGAGTTATCTACGCATAGCGTTCCTGAAGTAAATATCTAAATCAGTAGCAAGTCGCCATTAGTCTTCTTTTTCTTCACCTGTGTAGCTTAATATGTTCATATGCCCAGGTTCCAGTGGGCTAGACGTCGACCACGAAATGAATGCCCACGTCATAGAATCTTTCGTATAGTTGACGTGGACATTGCAACGTAACGGTTATGCAGAGCAAAAAATACATTTTACTAATATGCTTAACGTCATTCTCGGTCACTACAAAACTTGATCAAAACGGTTTTTTTTTTTTTGTTTCTATGCCCATAAGAGCATTACGGATAAAATCCACCGTTTGTCTGCTACTGATTTTAGGCTGAAGATTGTTGATACAAAGGGTAGAATTGTCTTACTGATCTCTGGTACTTTAAAACATTCTGAAGACACTGAGTATTTGAAGTTGTAACGA